CCCCAACAATGATCAAGACCACGCCCTTGAAATAACATGCCACAATATACACCTTAAAAAATAAGTCACTGTTAGATTGATTTCCAGCTCCAAGACTAAAAACTTAAAAATCTGACCTATCACATAGATCCTGAGCTGGCCACATGGTTCCCTGCCCATGCTGTATAAAGTCTAGTTAGGTCATGTGGTTCCCTGCCTATGCTGCAGCAGGTCTGTGTAGGTCTCATGGTTCTCTTCCCACGCTGCAGAAGGTCTGAGTAAGTCGTGTGGTTCCCTGCTCACACTGTAGAAGGTCCGGGTAGGTCAAGTGGTTCTCTGCCCACACAGCAGAAGGTCCGGGTAGGTCACGTGGTTCCCTGCCCATGCTGCAGAAGGTGTTCACGCTCAGGGTTTAAATCGGCCTATTCTTGTTTATTACAATCGCATTGAAGAGCGCTATTTTAATCTCTCTCTACTCCAGACTTGCCGAGTTCTTGATGTCAATGAACCTATTGAATCCCACCTTTCAACTCCAAGCTAAGAAAGTTTGTTCAAAGGTTATACATGTAACTTTTTCTAAAGGCCTGATTTTCATATTTCCCTCCCCAGCTTCTCCCTTTTCAGCTTCCCGCCTCCAGAGCATTTGGAGACTGCTGTGAGCTTGCTTTTCAGCTTCTTTCCAGCTTCCCTCTCTGGCTGGCCTTTTGTTGCCTTTGTTCCTGCTGCAGTTTTCCTTTCCTCCCTGGGGTCTGGAGGTGCTCAGGAAGAGGGAAGGATGGAGGGGTGTTCTGTTTCTTCCCTAAGGACTCCATGTGGGCAGGAACCCTAAGGAGGTCCTTGAAGGAACAATAGGAGGTGAGGAATACAGAAGTAAACACACACACACACACACACACACACACAACACACACGCACACACACACAGCCTTCTGGTCTTTGAAATTCAACCCAGGGATGGAGGGAGATTGCAGAGCTTCAGTCCCGAGTTACAGTTAGATGTCATTCCATGGCCACCACATCACCAAGGCCTTGCTATTGCTTGGAAGTGAACAGGACTTTGAAAAGAATTGTGTTGTTGATTTTTCTTACCCCAACAAAATAATGGGAAAAAATGTAAATAAATTTTTTTTGCCAAGTGCAACTTATTTTTAGAAATTAGAAGATTAGATGAAAGTGAAACATTAAAGGGTATAGGTTTGAATTTCAACTTCACCAGTTCCTAGAAGGTCACATGACCTCAAGCTGACCTATGGCCTCTCTTCCTTTGTAGAATGAGGAGACAGCAGAATTATTTGCAAGCTTCCTGTGCTTAGCTAGAAGCCAGGCAGAGGAGGCCCACACCGAATGGAAGCTGAAAGAGCAGCGCTTTCATTTCTTTCATGTGGCGTAGATTAAAGAAGATCATTATTAGCAATAGTGGATTTCCCTAGAAAGCTTCACAGAATGGAAAGTTGATGGCATAAGCTGAACTTGACTCTTGGAAGGTTCATTTTGCTGAAGAGGAACACTCAATGACAGTGACGCAGTGTAGAGTAACTGTTAGGTTTAGGAAGAACGTATGCCCGGAAATGTCTGTCTTGGCTCAATTCAAGCTATAGAAGGATGTCTGGCTGACAGATAACAGCCATGGTTCCCCTCTACCAAAAGCTATGTGTCCCTTGCCTATGCTTAAAAGGGACACGTGGCTCTTCACTGACATATACCTGTAGCACCTACCAAAGTTCATGCCTGCCTCCAGGCTCCCTCAGTTCCTATTCATAAGTACCATCCATACATTCAAAGCTGCCACACCAGCCTCCTGGCCTGTCTACCTCAGGTCCTGCTTTCTTCATAGGCAAGGTTTTTCCCCACCCCTGCTATTCTCACCATTTCCCTTCCTTGCAATCTCCACTAGGCTCTCCCACCCTGCTCTCCATTCTCACACAGATAACCCCAGCCATGTCCAGTCCTCTTCTTTTTTCTCTACTCTGGACTCTTCCAGATGCCTTCAGATACTTTCTCTCTCTGATCCACAGTAAAAACCTTCCCCAATCATGAACCAGCCATGTTGGTAGTTTCTTTACTGGTCCCCTCGCGCACAGTAACGTGGCACCCAAACTGAGAGTGATGTGGGAAAGATGGGCCAGGCAGGAGGCAGTGTTTGTGCTCAGGTGTGGAGAAGAGGAGGAAGGGCTAGATGCAAATGAGAAAGAAGTCCTGGCTGAGTGGCAGTTGGCACAGGGAAACTACAGGGATAGTAAACAGTCATGTGACAGAATCCTAAACCCCTCCTGCTTTTCAGATGGTATCTCCTCTCCACCTCCACCAGAAGAGTGCAGCTTGCTCCAGGTGGAACATGGGGAAGATGGCTAAGAGCATGGGAACAAGGTTAAGACTTTTGTTTAGCACCCTCAAGACAAAAAACAAACAAAAACAAGTGTGACTTTGGGCTGATTGATATGAATGCTCCAAATCACTAAGAACGAAATGCAAGATGTGGATTTGGCTGATGTAACAGCTAGTTTAAGACTGTGAGAGTGACCTTAACCTGGTTGGAATGTATTTTATTATTTTGGATGAGAAAGGGCAGGAACAGTGATGGAGCATGTGTCTCTTGCCTAATATTGTTTATGCTGATTGTAATTCTAATTTTTATACCTGATACCTGTTCTTATTGTATATGGTTTGAAACTCTCTTATTTAGACAAAAGGGGGAGGTGATGGAGAACCTCCTTCAGCCAATGGCCAGCCCGCTCTTTTTCTACCCCACCCAACACCTGGATGCTGAATTCCATTCTTGTTCCCCATTGTAATCTGTGAATTCCCCTTTAAATAAAGAACCCCTTATTATGCCTTATTCAAAGCTAATGTGGGATTAATTTATTCATGTTTCCCTTCAGAACGAGATCTTTTTGTTTATTTTTTTCTGGGATTACCATAAAAGGAAGAGAGAGATAATATCTACCATTAAATTGTTATGACAAATGAAGAAGTAATTGTAAAGACTGGAGAGACAGCTCAGTGGTTAATACCATATAATGCTTTTATAGAGGACCCAAGTTTGGTTCCCAGCACCCACATCTGGCAGTTCACATCTGTCTGTAATGTTGGTTCTGGGGGATTCAATGTCCCTGGACTTAGGACACCTACACTCATTTAGATACCTCCACACACTGCCTGAGACACACATACTGACTTATACACACACACACACACACACACACACACACACACACAATTAAGAATAAAACTAAGATCTTTAAAAATATTCACAGGCACTGTGTCTGACATGTAAGTGGTAATCTTTTGGAAAACCTTCTCCTGCCATGGCCCACATCTCTGTTCTACAAGGAGTTTAACTTGCTATTAAATTTACAACCAGCAGAAGGACACATATTTTCATAAGAAAGCCCATATAGGGAACATCATATGGCTTAATCATTCCCATCAACACACCCATCCTCCTCCTCTAACCTTCCCAGAACAATTTTTAATGGTTTAGACAGCACTTTTTAATGAATGAATATAAAATAAGCAATGTTTTCTTTGACACTGTCTTCCTCTCCAGGAGCTGTGGCATTTTCTCTTACTGTTCCCATCTATAGCTGGGGTGTGAGACTGTCATATTGGCAACAGTAGTCCTACCAGATTACTGACTGTAGCTGTCTTATAAACCTGAAACTAGAACAAACACCTTGGTTGTGGTGTGGTTGAGGGGTGAAAATCCTTCTTGCCTTGGAGGAGAGTGAGCTTTTGTCAGATTTGTAGTCACATTTATAAAATGCCTCAAGATCACCTAAGACTGGCACAAACTATTCTACTGTGTATTTGACTTATTTAAGTTTAACATTCCTTTAAGAAAAAAAAAGAAAAACACAATCAGCCTTATTATGCCTTGAATTTCCCCTGTAATCTGATTTTACAGCCTAAGCTAAATGCTATTAATCTTCATTTGTAGACTCTTCCTTGCCCTGACCCTGAATAATATATATATATATATATATATATATATATATATATATGTGTGTGTGTGTGTGTGTGTGTGTGTGTGTATGCATTTGTTGTGGTAATCATTTGCTGAAAGCAGCCAATAGGCTGAAAGCAACCTGAAACAAAAGCAGTATCCACCATAAATGCTGGAGGCAGTACATAGTCGTGGACTGATGACAGCCATTCTGGGCCAGTAAGCAATTTCTTTCCCAGTAAAACTCTGTTAAAGATTTCTGTGAAGGATCTTCTCCTTTTCCGTTTGTTTTCCATGCTGCTCAGCAAACACAGAGCAAAGCCCTTTGCTAGGGACAGGTAAGACAGATAGACATGACAGACAGACAAACACACATACAGATACACAGAACAGACCCAGTGGTACAACACACAAGCACAGTTGACAGGTGAGAGGAACAGGTCAGACACACAACAGACAAACTACAGACAGGTTAGTAACCACAGGCTTTAGACAGATGGGCCGCACAGGAAGAGAAGTGGAGAATTCAAGTTTGGGCTTGTTTTTGCTCATTACTATTCCAAGAGGAAGTCTTAGTTCTTAATGTGGCAATAACAAACCTGGTAAGTTTTCTTTTAGCTGTATACCATCTCTTCAGTGTGGAGGAAAACAGTTGGGTTTCTGACTTGTTTTTTGCACCCTGCTCATTTCGTCTATACCTTAGTGTGCTTGTCTGTTCTGTACCTGAACCTGCTTGCCAGTTCTGTAGCTGAGCATGCTTTTCTGCCTCACTATAAAGGATGAGAAACAGGTGGAGAGAGTCGGCAGGAAAGAGAGTGGTTTAAGACAGAGGAAAGAGTGACATCTGAAAGGCACATGGCTACATAGGCAGAGCAGACCGTACTAATACGATTTCCCAATTCCAGTTATCCCACATGATGCCGGTTTTCCCCATGAGCCACAGAGAATTTCTAGCCCCTTGGTGCTGTCCTTTGCATCCCAAATTAAAAAAAAAAATGCCATAGGTGTCTGAATACTCTCTGGAGACAAGCATCTTAATGGCCACAGCTGTTGAGTTTAGAGATGATGGGAAAATTACCTGTCCAAGGGACCGCCAGTCCAAACCCGCGCTGCCGATGTACACGTGCTGCTTGTCCACAATCCAGAAGGACGATTGCAGCCGGCCCTTGTTGTAGGCAGTCATATTCATGTATGTCACCTCAGCTCCTAGGAGGGCAAGCAGACACCAGTCAGTCTCCACTCCAGACCCTGCTCACACTGACAGTCAGACATCTACAAGCACCGTTACCCACAGGCTTACTGACTGCGGTGGAGACGTGTGGAAACCAGGTATTTGCATGAGGCTGAGGTGGTGAAGGCTCTCATGATGCTACTTTGTTTCCCACCCTAAAAGAAGAAAAAGAATTTGCCCGTGCTTATGCAGAGAAGGCTCTGTACATCATGGCAAGACCATGGCTTCGCAAGTCACCCACATCAACACAAAAATCCCATTGCCTCTGGCTATCTATTGGTGAGGTAGGAATAGTACACACTCCCTTCTTATTATTTTGGAATAATGGTAATAAAATTTTCAATTTCTAAAAGAATGTCTCATTCACCATTACACCTGTCCCAGTAGGAAACCAACTGGCTGACGTTGACTGGACTTTATTTCATTCATCTCTTTCCATTGTCTTCCCTTCCCCACCTACCACATTCATCGTGTAGTTTAGATTTAGCCTCTTCTTGCCCTTTACTTAATAGTTCTAAATTCCAACCACGATTATCCAGGTTTTAATGAGATTCAACATGGAGCGGTAAACTGCTACCAACACTGTCATGAAAACCAAGTTAAAAAAACAAAAACAAAAATAAAACCAAAAAACCCACCCCAAGAGCTGAATGTGACCAGTTGTTTTAATCAGAATGTGGTATATATAATCCATGGTCATGTCTTGAAGCATTGCCATCCCAAATGCATTAGTTCATTCTGATTCAAGGCCGTTTAAATGTATTAAAGTCAATTCACTTCAAAGAGCAGACTTCCATGGACATATTTAGTGAACTAAGCGATTCTGCCCTCAGATACTCGGTGCTAATGAGGAGGCCATCTCGCGGACACATTTCCTTGTCAGAATCGTGATTACCAGGAATACACAACACTGCACACATAAGGACGCTGCTGGGATATTCGAAAAGAGGGATGATCTTTTACACCATGATCTTGACCTCTTACTAGGGAAAACACCAACCATGCCTCCTGTCTCCATGAGACAAGGATGGAAAGGATTGGTGGGGCCAGGAGCACCCTGACAGATGTCCCCTGAGAGTGGGACAGCTTAGTCCTTCCTTCCGAGTTTCACTTTAAAAGCAAAGGTGTGTGGTCCTTAGCTTTTAGCCGTCCTGGCCTAAGAGCCGTGGAAGACGAACAGATCCCAGGGGAGGAGCCACCAGGTACAGCGGAATTTGAATATCAGCACAGAAGGTCATCATTTGTTGGGACCATTTGGAGTCCTGGCCTCCAGCTGCTCTTCCCTGCTAGAGATCTTTCCTTTCCTTCTGATCTGAGTTACTGGGAGCTGTGTCAAAGTTGTTCACCAGCTCTGCTTCATGAGCACGTGTTGCCTTGCCTTGAGGATCAGAGGATAAGGTTGGCCCGCCTGACTGTGTTGGGTATATAAGCCACCGTGGTGCTATTAAATAAAGGGCTTCTTACCAGTGACTAGAAGTCTGTCCCTCTGTTTGTGTCTTTCAATCTCCAGCCCCTTGCCCGAAGCTCATGTACTGTGTGGTAGCGCATAGAGAACAGATGGGCTTGGTGCGCTGCAGTCATCCATGACATCCACGTAGAGACCCGAGACCCCAGTCTGCGTGGAGGGGACACGGGGCTCAGAGGAACAGCTTCCACTACATATGCACAGGTGAATGACAGCGCTTGTCCTTGGCGATGGTCTTGCTCTCCACAGGGCTACCATGCCTGAGTGGCTTAAACCAGTAGAAGCTTCTGTCTCAGTTCTGGGAGTTAGCGGTCCACGATTGGGTTGGGGGTGAGGCAATAGTGGAATACTTGCCTGGCATGTGTAAGGCCCTGGGATGTTCAGTTCTCAGCATTACCAGACCAAACCAGATCAAACCAAAATAGTCCTGACTAGATCAGACCCGACAAAACCAATCTGAGTCAAACTACTAAAGAGAAGTCCAGACTCAGGGGTGTGAGGAGAGCCATGCTTCTTCTGAAACCTGGGAGAATCTTTCTTCCCTCTGCCTGGCTTCTGGGAGCTCTTGGCTTGTGGCTGCAGCCCTTAATTCTGCCTTTCTTGTCACATGCTATCCTTACTGGGATTGTTTTCTGATCAGGACACCAGTCATATGCGATGGACCAGTCCTGCCTCAGACACCTCATTTTAACTACTTAGAGCTGCAATAACATTATTCTCAACAAAGGTGACATTCTGCAGTACAGGGGTAAAGTCTTCAGTGTATCTTTCTTTTTATTTAAAAAATATTTATTTATTTAATATACAATATTCTATCTGTGTGTATGTCTGCAGGCCAGAAGAGGGCATCAGACCTCATTACAGATGGTTGTGAGCCACCATGTGGTTGCTGGGAACTGAACTCAGGACCTTTGGAAGATCAGGCAATGCTCTTAACCACTGAGCCATCTCTCCAGCCCTTCAGTGTATCTTTCTAGGGGATGTGATTCAACCATAACTAGCTGTGTGTGTGTGTGTGTGTGTGTGTGTGTGTGTGTGTGTGTGTGTTTGACAGTAATAAAATGACCAGGACTGAAGAAAGGACATTCTCTTGTAAGATTTTGTCTGTAGCACCTGACTCCAGTCAAATTCTCCTTATCCTATCTAGAAACAACTGGAACTCTCTGAGATATTGCCTGCCCCTCATACAGTGTTTGAATCTTAGCTGAAGACTAGTTGTCATTGCTGGGGGCTGCAGACCCCTGGCCCCTTGACTCTCTTTGCCTGCCTCAGACCCTTTGCCTACTGGAGTGAACTGAGAAAAACCACCTGTTTTCCTGCGCCTGCAGCTGCTCTGAGCACGAGACCCTGATGGCAGGGGAGTGGGTTCTGGTGAGGTCTGCAGCTGAAAGATCCCGGGAGCTGGGGCATGGCTATCAGTTAAGGATCCCTATATAAGCTTCCCTGGAGCACAATAAACGTGACATTCTTCTATCAAGGGTGACCCATGTCCGTGTGTGTGTGTGTGTGTGTGTGTGTGTGTGTGTTGAAGTCTCTAGCTTAGTTCCCAGCTTGCATACCGTCCCGAAGTGCAGGTGCTCCAGACATCTCGTGTGTACTGTTTATTAGTTTAAGAGTTTCCCATCTGTTCTTGCTTGGTCCACTCCAGCCCCAGATCACTGAGGCATCTGAGTCCACAGGGTCCATGGAGACGTTCTGTTTGAATTTTACAGTCCACACTGCTTAAACGTTTCCACGTTTTGCTACTTGCAGCTACTACACCTTGCAATTTAGCCTGAATCACTTGTATTTGGAGTCCACGGGTCATAGGTGAACTTCTGGTTACCTCCTCTATAGATAACTATAGACTACTAAAAGGATTATGTTACACAGAAACAGGGACTTTCCTTTGGCAAAAGTTTACTGAACAATGTGTATCAGAATTCTGTTCTCAGTCAAAGTCAAGATAAAAGGTGTAAGTTAACTGACTCAGTTCAGGCTTTTTAAGATGCTCTCGGTTAATGCAGGCTGCCCCCACAAAGCACTATAAACTAGCCAGTATAAATACTGAGTTTTCTGTTTTACAGTTTCAGAGGCTGAATGGCTCAAGATTCAGTTATTCGTGGATTCATCAGTCGAGGGTCTGCTTCCTCTATCATAGATGTCCTTGCTTTGTCCTTACATTGTTGGCGAGACAGCGAGCTGCTCTCAGGTCTCGGGACATAGCCCATGCTGGCTTCAAACTCACAATCCTCCTGCTTCAGCTTCCTGCGTGTGGTGACTACAAGCATGTCATCCCATCTGGGGTCACTAATCTTATTCAAGGTGGCTTCGTATTCATTATCTAATAATTTCCTAAAGGTGCTGTCTTCTAAGATTATCACCCTCACTGTCAGAATTTCAACACACAAATTTTTCACAGAGCAGGGCAGTGTATATTTGGCAATGACCAGGATGTGGTTCATCCTGAGAGAGCAGAAAGGAGGAGTTCTCATCACTATGGTAGGGAAGTGCATGAGAAGTTAAGGTCATGAAACATGGGATTCGGTCCAGTGTCAGAGGTACTCATACAACAGCCAACAGAACTGGGTGTGGGGCTCAAGTAATACATAATAATATCATTTCTCTTTTATTAAACATCTCTGGCAGACACGTTGCAGTGCCTGGAGACATTTCCTGGTTTATAATAAGAATAATGGGAATACCATTAGCATCCAGTAGGGAGATGGTATGGATGCTGCTAATTATTCCACAAAGCATAGACTAACCCCAGAACAAGAGTCACCTGCCCTCAGTGTCAGTCCCAAGGGTAAGAAATTCTGTATGACCACCGTGTGTGTGTGTGTGTGTGTGTGTGTGTGCCTGGCCCTGTGCCCCTGCTATTCCTACAGTCATATTCAAAATTCTCTGTCCTTCATCCCCCCGTTTCTAACGTGTGTTTTCTCACATATATTTGGGTCCCAAATGGCATTACAAAAACACATTTGTCACTGGCTTTTGAACCAGCATGTATCAGTGTGTGGTTCATCAGTCATTGTGGTTTTCTGGAAAGTCTTTCAGATGTTTCCTGAGAGTTGGGTCTGTGGCAGACTCTATCTTATTAATCCATCTTCCCTTCAGAAAAGGGTCACAGTCAGTCTATTCCTATAAGCTTCATTTTTGTTACTCAGTACGGCTTAATCAGTTTACTTCACAGCACATGGAATTCATTGGCTTGAAGGCTACCAGGAAACACTGAAGAGTAAGTGTCCCCATGATTACACATCTCTGCTTTCAATACACTCAGTAAGGGAGAGGAGGACACGTGGAAAGTATCAGTTAACGCCCAGTTGTGGAAAGAGTGGATCCTGGTCAACGGAGATGGCTCAGTGGACAAAGTATTCATCACACAAGCCTAACAGCCTGAGTTTGAAATCCCAGAACCCAACTAAAGTCAAACACAGCATCTCATATCACAATTCCAGTGCTCTCATGGTAAGATGAGAGGTAGAGACAGGAGACTCCCTGGAAGCTATGGGCCAGCTCACCTGA